AGGGGCACTTCTTACAAAGTAAAAGGGGTCCCTCTTAAAATATAATAGGGTTTAATCTAGGGGGTACTTATCAAAAGTGAAAAGGGGCAACTATTGCAAAGGAAAATATAAACTTTTCGAAGGAAAAGGGGCACTTTTCAAAGTAAAATGAACACTATACCTATGTAAAAAGGGGAATTTGGGGGTACGTAAACAAAATGGGGTCACTGTGCCCCCCCCCCCCCCCTGCAGCGCCGGCTCTGCATTGGGGTTGATATTTTCTATAAGAGAGATGACCGTCGCCAACTTATATTTCTGCCACTATTAAATGAAGAGGAATGTGTTTAACGTCTGTGTAAAAATGCTGTATGAAAATTTTTTTTTTTTTTTATTGACCTCACATTCTTCTGCTTTCTTTTTATTTAGTATGTTGCTTTTCATTTAATCACTTTCACTTGTGATTTATCCGCGACTACAATCGGTATATTTTATTCCGGTTCCCATGTTTTTAGTTCCGGCTCTGTCGCCATGTGGGGGATTCCAAAGCTGTATTTCAAGAACAAAGACATCCGGAATCTGAACATTTTTGGCTGGATTTCAACTGATTGTACAACATTTTGGACGGTATAAATAACAGAGCAAGAGCGATAGTGAGAAAGAGAAGGATTAGGGTAAACAGAAGAAGATTTGTTTTAAAGTTAGGAATGGGAAATCATAAAACAGAGAGAGTGAGTGATTGAGAGAAAGAAACGGAAAGAGGGGGGGGGGAGAGATACTGAGTAGATAATACCGAAGATAAACTAATAATGACGCACGACCAACCACAAAACATGGGAGGGATGAGAAAAGATAGAGAATAGGAGAAAGAAGGAATATGCAACACAGGAAACCATCAACAGACGGGGAGGGGTATGGGAGTAGAACAGATAATTTAAGGATACTAGTGTTAATAAGAAGAGAGAGAGAGAGAGAGAGAGAGAGAGAGAAAGAGAGAGAGAGAGAAAGAGAGAGAAGGGAGAAAAGAGAAGGAGAGAAAGGAAAAAAAAGAGAGAGAGATTTGGAGAAATAGAAGACGGAAAAGAAGATAGACACATCAGGATACACTCGATCGTAGGTGTAGCTCAAAAGCGAAAAGTGACAGATTTGCACTTCTGTAATTATAAAAATGAATATATATTATTGGTGAAAATTAGTTTCATTTTGATGAAAAGGAATATCTGCTGACAAGCCAACAATATCATTCTCTTGTCAGTGCCAACTGGGGCTGTCATTTGGGGCTGAAACTGATGTATTGTATCCAGATTTGATTTTGCCACTCATCCCCATCCCCAACGTACCACTTCAAACGCCAACGCTATTTTTTTTTTTTTTTTTTTTACTTCCCCTTTGGGGTTACCTTGATATCTTCCTCTAAAGTTCCCCGTGAATTTTTTTTTTCTCCAAAAAGATTTCAAATGAACCCGACAAACCGATAATCATATCGAGATGAGGAACCTCAAACCAATAAAATCATGATGTTTTTCAAGTGTTTCAAGTTGTACTTATGCAAGAATTATTGCTTCTTGAGGGCATTGGACCCGGCCATTGTTGACCTATATTTTCAGGTCAGGAAAGGAACAATAATCCAGCAACTGAACAAAGACAATCCTAGACATAACGATTAAAAGCTCCAGACTTTAAAATGTGCATGTATAGAAAGTTATAATATAAATAAAGTAATAGTGATGATGATGACAGAATGGTTATACTAATCAATATCATTTTTATCATCATGATCACCATCATCATAATCATAATCATAACAACGAAAAATAATGATAATTATAACAATTTCAATAATGATAGTAATCATTATGATGAGGAACACAAAATAAAATTACTCTTGTTGAATATTGGAGAGGGGATGGGAAAAACCCAGATCCCACCCCCTCTCTCTCTCTCTCTCTCTCGATCTCTCTCTCTCTCTCTCTCTCTCTCGCTCTCTCTCTCTCTCTCTCTCTCTCTGTCTAACGATCCACATCTTACCAATGACCGTAAAGGATACGGTACAAGTTGCTAGGTGCCCAGCATAGTAGGGGCATTTACACTGTCTAATGAGAGCCCGCTGGGAAAGTCGAACCAGGACCCGAACCAGATGCTTTACTACATATGGGGGAAAATACATCATAAATTTACATCACTTAGGGTTACATCAGTGATGCTAGAATATTGTGGAGTTGTCTTTTGGAGAGGTTGGGGCTAAGGGTTTTGCTTTAATTTCGTGTGCTTGGCGAAAATTTGGGGGAAGCTAGAACCACTAGTGCTGAAGTCTATTACTAATAATGATGAGGATCAATCTACATTTCCCTCGCTTAAGGGAGCTACACAAAGAAAATTTACTAACAACTGATAATTAGAACAAATTACATATGGATGAAAAGATTTTCTCTTGAAAAACACGAATAATTTAATGAGAAATCATATAGATATCATGGTAAGGCGTAAAATGCAATTTTCAAGACCCTTCTTAGACCCCCAAGCGCCCCCGAACGTAAGCCAAACACACGAGCGTAGCGAGCTCTGAATAGTGACGTCACACTCTGGACAAACAGCTCGGCACCGGCCAGGGTGTGACGTCACAATAGTGACGTCATACGAAGGACTGCTGAAGGCAGTAAATCTGGATCTCAAAACAAACATTTTTGAAAGTTGATTTCTGCGGGCCCTAAACATATTTTGAAGAGGAAATTTGTTTTATTTGATCAAATAAGGCTTCCCCTTCGCAATGATATGAATTTTGCATCAATTCAATACACTTTTGCTTCTTGGTGTGACTCCTTTAAGCTCAGCTGCCCTAAGGATCATACAAATTCAACGACTAAATCCCTACCAGGAACCCACGCACTTCACAGGGGTCCAGAATGGCAAATGTAGATTAATGTCTAGCCGAAGGACATTAGTGCCGGGGCGGGACTCGAAGTCTCAAACCGTGAACCATGTGATCCACAGTCCGGTGATGTATCCACTTTGGCAAGACATTATTCCACATTACTCCACCCAGCCCAGGTGAACATGGATACCCAATTATGTTAAAGATACTATGTCTCTTTTGCAGCCAACATCAAATTCTGTAGAACTATCAGGAATTATGGATATGTCATGTATGTTCTATTTGTGAAATTTAAACGTAAGCAGTGTCCTAATTTTCGAATTATGCAAGGATACCCGTTTACTTGCTAGACTTCGCTGTCAGACACTATTGAGTGACTGACTGACTTTTGTTCTTCCAAAGCTATATTTCCGGAACAAAGATTTTCAGAATCTGAACGGTATGCTGGATTTCGTCTGAGTGTACACAATTTTGGACTGTATGAATGACAGAGCAAGAGCGATAGTATCACATGAGGGTGTGGTGATAAAGGAAGAGACAATCATTAATATGTGCTAGAAATAGATAATGCTAAATATATAAAGGAACTAAGGATTATTTACAACACCCCCCCCCCAAAAAAAAAAGGGTAAAAAGAAAAAAGATTTGATTAAAGTTAGGAATGTGCAATCATAGAACAGAGAGAGTGAGTAAGTGAGAGAAAGAGACGGAGGGGGTGGGGGGGGGGGTAAGGTAAGCTAATGATAATATACGACCAAAAACAAAAACGAGAAAAATTAGAAAGAATAGAGCATACGAGAAAGAAGGAAAATGCAAAACGAGATACTGGGGTATTAAATAAGAGACAGATAGAGAGCGGGAGAGAGAGAGAAAGTTATAGAAATTAAAGGCGGAAAAAAGACGGACACATCATGAAACTCTCGATCGTAGATGTAGCTCAAAAGCGAAAAGTAACAGATTTGCACTTTTGTAATTATAACAATGAAAATAATAATTGGTGAAAATAAGTGTCATCTTGATGAAAAGGAATGACTGCTGACAAGCCAAAAAAGGATTATTATTTGTTTTAAGTGCTATTTGGGGCGAAAACTGAAATACTATACATCAGTTTTCGCCCCCAAATGATTCTAGGAAAACGGTTCTAGGACACCTACCCCCTGGACATCCACCCCCAGATAACCACCCCCAGTCAACTATCCCCGGACAACTACCCCTAGGAAAACTACCCCTGGACAACTACCTCCGGACAACTATCACCCCTAGGACAACTACCCCGGACAACTACCCCAGACAACTACCCCCTACGACAACCATCCTCTAGGACACATACCTTCCGGATAAATATCATAAGAGAAGTTGTCCGGGGGTAGTTATCCGGGTGGTAGTTGTCCGGGGGTAATTTTCCTAGGGGTAGTTGTCCCGTGGTATTCGTCCTAGAGGGTGTTTGCCCTAGGGGTAGTTGTCCTAGAGGGTGGTTATCCTAGGGGGTAGTTGACTGGGGTGATTACCCAGGGGGCTGAATGTCCAGGGGGTAGGTGTCCGGATAAGGTATTCAGTGTACTTAAATTATGCCACATTGGATTTTGTCACGGATTCCTAAGGGGGAAATGGGAAATTTATATTATCAATATAAAGAAAAAAAATTGGTGGATAATGAGGCACTGACGTCACAGACTCATGAGAGAATTGCCAATTTGTCTTGTGATTTTCAAAGTTTTTAATTTCATTAAAAAATGTATAACTTTCTTATTAGTTATCCGATTTTGCTCAAACTTGTTTTTGATTGCTTTGTCTGATTTTTCAGCTTGTAACCATGGACCTACGATATTGACAGAGCTAGGCTTTGCTCAAGGACGTGTGTTTAAATGTCAGAGTAGAGTCTGCATGTGTCTGCAGACTACTATCGACTGGTTGTATATAAGGGCAAGGAGGATATTGTAATATCCTCCTTGGTAAGGAAGAACAAATAAATATTCCACGATCAGGCCTGGTTTCAAAAACAGATTTGATTTCAGTAAATTATCTCACCACAGCTTCCTGCAATAATTTTGAAATGCTAAGTATCGGTTCTAGAATTTATTTTTCTTATCTTTTTTTAATGAAAATACGCTTAACCCTACGAACCTGTATAAACGGCTGAGCATCGTACAAACAAAATCATTATACCTTTGGCGGTTAAATGGTGTGCAAAGCTGTTCGCATAGTTCGAAGTAAAGATGCTGATTTTCGCAATTTTGACTGCCTCTTTGGCCAGTGGGTTGGCTGTAAATGCAACGTTTCACAAAGTTGCTGAACCGATAGACGACCACTACATCATTGTAATGAAGGTAAGAGTAGCCGCATATTAAACTAGCTTATTTATTTGTATAATAAAGTATCAAAATCCTCAGACAAGCGAGAGAAAAAAAAGAGGAAAAAGACAAAAGAAGGAAAAAAAAGATAGTTGACCGGTTCAGATTATTTCCTACTAAACAAATCATTACATTTTCGCTTTTTACAGAGGTTGCACAAATTGTTGTAACACCCCCCCCCCCCCCCCCCCCCCAGAATTACAAATTTGTCCACCAAAGAAAACAATCATTAGGAGTGTCATAAAGACACTGTTCCATCGTCACCGCCTGGCCTGAGTATGGCAGCGATACTAAAGGTGCAGAGTCGAGCCTTTCAGGATTCAACTCTTGTCGAGTGAAAATCTGCATCCCCCTATTGGTTTATTTTCCCACTTCTGTTACTATAGGATACTACGTTAATTCACTATGCTTATTTGTATTATTAAACGGTAGGATTTATAAAGATCGGGAATTATCCAAAAAAAAACTGATTTATATTGCACATTTTGGCTGTTAGTGTTCCTTTACCCCTGGCGAATCCGGGGTTTCAAAAGGATGTGCGCTGTTGTGTGTAGACATTATAATACAAACTTACTCTCATGTTATAATGTAATGCTAATTCAGTTAAGTCGCTGCCTAAGTCTGCATATGCATGTTCTTATGTTAAGATGGCATTGCTATTATTTTGCCCATAACCCCCTTGTGCCACTACCTCATATTCACATTCCTTAATACCGTGTTAATCTGGTTATGTTTATGTATGCATACACAGATACACTGTACATTGAATCAGGTAGTCTTGAATAAACCTTCACAGCAATCACACCCTTATTCTCTTTACATGATCTCTTCCACACGGTTATATTCACAATACAGTCGCATGGCAAGGACTCGATTTTGCCGAAGGGTGAAGAGAGAGAAAGTGTGTATGTGAATGGCCCGGGGTTCAAAATCATTTTTCTTAAAACTATCAAAGTTGGTACTTACTAATTATCTGCCATGTTGTTGCTATGTGATGCTACATACGAGTAGTACCACAATGTCGTTTACGGCTTTCAGTCCTCTTCGAGGGAATCGGTAATGTGGACATATGCCTTGGCACGAGCGCACTTGGTTTCGAATTCGAGCAACTCCACCGTTTGAAAACCCCACCGCCAAGATTGTTTTTCACAAACAAGCCCATGAGAGGGTGAGCATCTATACTCCCTAGGCCTTGATGGGCGGGGGATTATCTTATGTATCTCATTATCTCATGTGTCTAGACTTAAGAGAGAAGCTTCTAAATGCATTGCATACGTCAAAAAGATTCTGAACAGTGGAAGCAAATGAATGGAATCGACTGTAATACAGTCTATGGCGAACGATTGTTGCTAAACTTCGGCAACAATCGTTGCTAAGTTTGCTTTTCCCTAAAATTACCATAGGCGAAATACAGGGATTATTGTTATCATATCATGTTTTTAATGTGACACCGAGCCGACCTAGATTTCTTGGTAAGGCAAGAACATATATTGTTGATATAATATCAAATCTTGTTTCTTGTCATAAGGAATTAATAAAGATATAACGGACAACAATTTTTCTCAATCTACACATTCTCTTCTTCCCATCTCATGTTGAGGTAATAATTATACCAAGGTTCACAGTTCCTTGTAGTAACTAAAAGACAATTCCTCCGTTATGGAAAAATCAACAAATCGTCTTTCTTGTTTTATATTGTTTTCAAATAATGGATCACTTTGAGAAGGTTATGTACATGTATCTTCTAAGTGCCGAAAATCGAGAAACTATTCTGGAGAAGAATTCTGAAACTTTTCCACATAAAATGGCAGGAAAGTATTGGGGTAAGCTCTACCTAGTATGGTTTTAGTTTATCCTGCATGCACCTGTTCATTATGGAACCCCCCCCCCCCTTAAATCACAAGACGAATTCTAGAAAAAAAAATATATATCCTCAACATCAACTGACAGGAGACGGTTAAGGTAGGCCTAATTTGTTATAGTTTTAGTTTATCATTACTTTGTCTGTTAAAGAGACAGAAGAGCTTTGAAACTGTGTTAAAGTAAATATGTTAACTAACGCCTTCGGGCTCCAAACAGACGATGTCAGGGACTAATTTTGTTTATTTCGTTCTTTTGTAGTCTGGATATGACGTGGTTCCGATCAAGAATCTCATCCTGGGAGATCGTTCAGGAATCTTCAGTGGTGCTACCGTCAAGCACACCTACACCAAGGCTATCAAAGGCTTCTCCGCTAAACTCTCCAAGAGAGCTGTAGAAAAGGTAAGTCGGGATGAAAACAAAATTCTAAATATCACACCACTAGAGGATTGAGGGAGAAAAACCGCCCCCTGAAAACGAAGTTAATAAACTTAGGCCAATAGGTGTACACAGGGGCGTACGCAGGATTTTTTTCGAGGGGGGGGGGTTAAAATTTGAAAATCGCGCCGTAAATTTCGCAACGACTCAGCCAGGCTCTAGATAAGCGGGGGGGGGGGGCGGGGGGAGGGGTTGGTAAGAGCACATTTTTTGGAGGGGTGGGTCCAGGATTTGATGATTTTTGCAACCACTCAGCCAGCCACTGAATAAGCGGAGGAGGGGGGTATGAGCACTTTTTAATTTCTTGTTTTTTATTTAAACAAAAATTGAGGAGGGGTTTCCTCCAAAACACACACATTAAAAAATTGAGGGGGGTTCGAGCCCCCCCCCCCCTCCCCCTGCGTACGCGCCTGGGTGACAAACCAAACATGTAATTCATTTCATTTTTGTTTCTTACCCCAAAAGCATCTGAAATAATCAACGAAAAATTGAAAGTTATTTGGCTTGTTAAAAATCTTTCGATGATGCCCTACCCAAACCCCCCCTCCCGGCCCCTCTTGGATTCGCCCCCAATTTCCAATGACTTCGGAATTTTCGTCATTGTTTCATATATTTTCCTCTTTTACTGTGTCTTCAATTTATTGCAAAACAACGGCCTCTTAGGAAAATTAACTATCCATCTTAGGCCCCCCCACCCCCAAAAAAAGTTAAAATCAGCCCTAAATTCTCCCAAAATGTACTGAAAAACAGGGACGTGCCCCCCCCCCCCCCTCCGGCCAAAAAAAATTATAATTGAAAAAAAAAAAAAACAACAACTTGCCAATGGCTGACCTTAAAAGGTGACCTTACACCCCCCCCCCCCCCCCCCCAACGGAGCAAAATGTCAAATTTAAAAATTTCGTGACCCCCCCCCCAAAAAAAAAAGGGTCCTCCTATGTTTCTAAAAGGTAGACACAACCAAAGTGATGCACATCTTACTTAATGGTATGTGCGATCGTGTTTTGAAGGATAGCATGGCTGGGTGGGTGTGAGTTGGTGGGGGAGGGGACACTGATCACATTTTAAATCTCAAAGTTATCTGACAATCACAAATAATTCCTTTTCACATTTTTACTGTGCCTTTTGGCTGTGAAAGTGCTGATGGGGAGCGGGGAGGGGGGTTATATTTCAGTGGCTACATTAGATCTTGCCGATGAATGGTCAAATCATCAGAATATTAATTTCTATTTCTGTTAAAGGTTTTTTTTTACATACTTTTCTAAAGTCTTTTTAGCATCCCCCTCAATAATGATCCGTTGACATTTATATTTTGTACTATTTATATATTTGGTCAGCTCATGCATCACATTGTTCTGTGTTAATCATGGGATGTAAATTTATCATGCACATACTTATGTTGAAACAGGGTCAAACCTGTCTATTATGGCCACCCAAGGAAAACAGATAAAGTGGCCACTGACGACAGGTGCCCTTTCTAGATAGGTTCTACAACACACATTGCTCTCTCGAGGGATAAAAAATACATGGCCACTACAGACAGGTGGCCTTTATATGGAGGTGGCCATTAAGCCAGGTTTGACTGTGTATGATTCCAATCAAGTAGCTTCAAGGCGGATTTTAAAAGAATTCACTTTCCTTTTTTGTATGTTCTTGTTTGAATGACTTCATTTTGAAATCACCCATCAGCTGCTAGCCCGGGATGAGATAAAGTATATCTGTCAGGACGGGGTGGTCAGGGTCTCGACCGTGGCACAATGGGGCTTGGACCGTATTAGCCAGCGACCACTGCCTCTTGATGGAGATTACAATTTCACCGGTAGGTACTCGATTTCTGACAAAGTTCATCGGAGCTGATGTTATATAATAATATCCCACTCATTTCTAGAAAAAATTTGGGAGCTCAACACCTCCCCCCCCCCCCCCCCCACCCCCCCCCCCCCCTGAACCCGAAAAAATAATCTTCTTAAACCTTGCCTGCTCCCATCCATTCTAACAGTTTACAATTGACTCGATCGTCCAACTGAAATTTCACATTGTCCTCGGGGGTAGTTGTCCTCGGGGGTTATTTTCCGGGGGTGGGGGTAATTTTCCGGGGTGGGGGTAATTGTCCTTGGGGGTAATTTTCCTCGGTCGTAATTCTTCGGGGGTCATTTTCTGGGGGTAACTGTCCTTATGGGGTAGTTTTCCGGGGGTGATTGCACAGGGGGTAATTGTCCTGATACGATCATGAACATAGCAAAAATTAATACGAGAAATACCTACGGAATAAACTTAGAAATGATCATGCAAGTTCAAAGTGTTTACCTTGCTTGTGTGTTGGGCTGTCGGTGTGTTTATTCAGTTGATGTGATATATGTGAACGTTCAAAAGAAAGATCTAACTTATATGGCCTTTCCCCTCCCTTCTACAGGAAATGGTTCCGGGGTCAATGTTTACGTCATCGATACAGGCATCTATGAAGATAGTATGTACTTTGGGGGACGCGCCAAAGTGGCCTACGATTCCACTGATTCCAATAGTTCATATGTAAGTGTTCTATATACATCGCCAATATTTTGTTTAAAGATTGAAATTTATGTTTTAGAATGTGTTCTTCTTCTTTAGATTAAAAAAAATATGTATCAAAATTAACACCATCGCAACTATTCCCTGAGGCTTCCCTTGGTAAACAAAATTATTATTTGTAAAGTAGTAGTAGAAGTAATTATTATTAGAAAATATTAGTTACTATAAGAGGGATACTAATTATTATATCCCACATACTAAGAATCTTGCTCTACGATTGGTCGAAAGTAAATCACGTGAGGAAAGATAGTTCGCCCATTATTGATGGGAGAAGCAAAAAGTTCGTTACACTGTGTAGATAGTACTTCTATCTACACAGTGCAACGCACTTTCATTGGAGATAGAGGTATTATCTACAAAGGGCAACGCACTTTCACTGAAGATTATCCAAACGCGCACTAAAACAGGCGTAATTAAGCGCGCATTACCAAAGAGTGCAATTAAAAGAAAACACATGCGCGCACCGTACCCTCAAGGGGTTAGGTTAAACTTAAACTTTTTTGGTGTGAATTTTGGCCTAGGTGTCTTTAGATGCATACACGTCTTTTTAATTTTGTAATTAAATTGTTTTAGACGTGGAATATAAAGCAAATAATCACCTTTTGGTTTTCAGGCGATGGCAAACTATCACTTCCTCGTCGATCAGAATGTATACGCTATCTTTCCCCAGCTTTGCTTCGGAAAGATAGCTACATCCAGATCGCCTCGGAAGTGATAGTTTGTCCCTTGTCCCATCACCTTCACCAACGGTAATTATTTGCTTATTATTATTATTATAAATTTTATTATTATTATTATTAATATCATTATTATTATTATCATTATTATTATTATTATTATTATTATTATTATTATTATTATTATTATAATTATTATAATAATTAATATCATCATCATCATCATGACAATTGTCGTTAATTTTTAAGTAATTGTTATTATTATTATCATCATCATTATTATCAGGGCATAGATTGCGACGGCCATGGGACCCACTGTGCCGGTACCATTGGGGCAGAGATATTTGGAGTTGCCCCGGGTGTTAATCTCTTTGGAGTACGTGTTCTAATTGGCTGCAAAAAAAACGGTACAACTGCCGATCTCATTGCAGGTTAGAAAAATTAGTTCAAGCCATATCGTATTAGAAACACTTGGTGTCCCTCTATAAAGGGCACTAGAAACACTACCTCTATAGCGCCATCTCAGGGCAGTTGCAGCAGTATGGTCCTACCTGTAACTCGCTGCGCTGTTGGTTCTCGCATCAAGTCCTCTGCCTGCGAAGCGGAAATTAGGTATTAGGTTACGCACTGTTGGCAAGTTGAAACACTTTTATACTAGAGATACGAAGGTCCTGGGTTTAAGGCCCAACGTGATCGACACTATTGTCCTGGCCTTCGGCAATAAATCTATATTTGCCGCTCTCCACCAAGGTGTTAAATGTGTAACAGCAGGAAGGAATTCTTTGAGTACTTATAGCGTTTTAGAAGTGTGCGCTATCATGATCTCCAATATTGTTAGTGTTAAACATGTTATACCTCAACAAGTAAAGGCAAATTAAACGTTGCAATAGTCCAGAATCTGCATGGTCCTTTATAATTTCCCTTCACACTTGATTCAAGCCGTCGAAGAGGGCGTTATTAACAAACTCTTAATTAGGCCCAAAAAAAAAAAATTGGTTGTCCTCGACCGCCCGCTCGTCATTTTCGGGCCGCTCGCATTTTTTTTTTTTTTTAATTCAATTTTTTTTTTTTTTTTTTTTTATAAATTTAATTGTTTTGGGGGAGCAATCTTAAATGCCAAACACACCATTTTATGCATTTGCAAGGATCAAAATACGTCCCGTTGCCAGTTTTGTCTTTTCAGTACGCAATTAGGTATTTATTAAACTTGCCATTTTTATTTTTCTATGTCAAAATGCCGTTCATTCAAATCAGGTTCTGAGCATTCTTAAACTCATTTTAAAGCCCATCTGTACTAGTTTACAGGAGGGATTAGACCACCCTTCAAGGTCACTGGACAGGTGGTTATCTCATCAAATCAGCTCTCAGTTAATATAAGATAAAGAGGATCATGGGGGACCAATGGTCACCGATTAGGCATTGTTTGCTACATAGAGGGCGCAAATAGCTATAAGTAGTACAATGGAGATTTAAAAGGTGCTGTATTTCAAAGCCCAAAACACTTTCTGTGTTGGTCTTGATATTCATTGTACCATATTAAAGTGTTTTATAGACTGTTTGTTTAAATGCTTGACAATCCCAATGATTTTTTTATTTATGGGAAAAAAATATTTAAACAAAAAAAAATGGGGGAAAAAGAAAAAAAAAAAAAACACAAAAAAAATGAAGTTAAAAAAAAATTTAAAAAAATAAAATAAATAAAAAAATCCGCCCGCCCGCCTCTACTCTAGAAAAGCAATCGAGGACAACCAAACAATTTTTTTTGTTGGCCTTATGCTCACCAGCCCAGTCGGTCTTCCTAATTTAATGATCACGCCATCATCGGCAGGTAAGTAGGGAGAGGAAGCGTTGGTGTGGTGGAGATCAAAATTAAATAAGCCAGATTCTGGACTAACATTGCAATTGAATACTGGGGCGAATGACATTGACATATGCTTGATAAGCGCAGGCAAGGAGTCGTAGTCGAGATGTTTAAATACTTGCCTGGATCGATCGAGATGCAATGGTCGTGGGTTCATTCCCTGATAGACCTACTTATGCCCTACTCTAGTCACACCCACGAAACCGACAGTACACCGACAACAGGCCGAACAAGAAATTACATTGCCTCTAATGACCAAGAATCAGTTGGTTTGAAGTCGTAGAGTCGGTTTGAAGGCGTTATACAGTCGGTTTAGGGTCGTTATAGAGTCGGTTTGGAATCGTTATAGGGGAGGTTTAGAGTCGTCATAGAGTCGGTTTGGCGATGTGGCTTAAATATTTGTGAAATATATTTAGAGTTAAATCGTGATATCATAGTTCAGGTCAGTTCTAAGTTTACTTTCAGGCTGTGATTATGTGGCGAAATCATCCAAGAAGCCGGCCGTGGCTTCCATGTCACTAGAACACGGGACACATCGGGCTGTGGATGAAGCTGTCCGGGGAATCATCGATGCCGGCATCACCACGGTAGTGGCGGCTGGTAATAACAACACTGATGCCTGTTTGTTCTCACCGGCCGGAGTCAAAGAGGTTAGTAAACACACGTTGATAATGACTTTGAAATTATAGACGTTTTGATATGTTTGAATATCACAACGCGAATTTGCAACTATAAGAAATTATGATTTGCTTTGAATGTTAAGCGTCCTGAGAGAAGTTTTTATTGTTGTATATTCAATGTTTGGCTTGCACCCATTAGATAATATAGCGTGCTCGCTCTTGTGATTGAAAAAACAAACAAGTCAGAAGGAAAAAAAAATCGGAACCAGCGGGGTCTTTAAACCAGTTACTGCCCGGCAAGCAATATGTAGGTGCGGTTCTAGGACAATTGCCCAATTAGCAACCACCCCCCCCCCCCGGGCCCCCGGAAAATTACATTCCGGAAACTAACCCCCCTTCCCCCCCCCCCCCCGAGAAAAATTACCACCAGGAAAATCCCCCCCCCCCCCTATTATCAAGATAGACTTGGCCTATAATGAACGGGGAAGGGGGGAGTAGGGTAATTGCCCTCGGCGTAGTTTATCTTGATTGTCCTTCGAGGTGGTTGTCCTAGGGTGTATTTCTTTAGGGATGTGGGTAATTGTCCTCGGGGTGGTTGTCCTTGGTTATTCTTGGGGGGGGGCCTGTCCTAGGGGATAATTTTTAGGGATGGGAGTAATTTTCCTCGGGGGTATTGGTCCACGGCGTAATTTTCAGGGGGTAATTGTCCTCGGGGGGGGGGTATGTTCTGGGGTAGTTTTTCTGTTGTTTTACTTGTTTTCACTTTCAAGATCGAGCACGCAATCATTTTCTAATGCATGCAAGCCGAGACAAATTCTTAACAACTAACTGATTCACTTTATATGCTGCTTTTCATTTGTTCCGTACACCATTTAAGACGATGAAGCCTGTTTTAGTAACGACCTGTATAGAAAAACGCCTGTCTATAAAGACCACAATTCGTGTTTCTCTTCAACAAACATTTTCTCATTAAAACATAAACTAAAAGGGGATAGTATCTATTTCCGTATTAAAAAAAAAAAAGAAATATACAAAGCAAAATAATAATAATAATAATAATAGTGGGTTCTTGTATAGCCCCGCTCAGCAATAAAAACATGATATCGCTTGTTTTCAGAGGGTCCAAGGCAACAACAAAAAAGAACTTGGCAACTCGAAAATGGCAACTTTTTAAAAAAATGTACTTGTACATAGGACCACCTGCCTATATATAGCTGTGTATAGAGGCCGCTTTTCTTTTCTCCCGTGAGTCTTTTTTTGAACGGGTCTGAGTGTGTTTAGTTTTGAATTTGTCGTCAAGAATGAAGCCGACGATTTCTCTTCCAATATAGGCGATAACCGTGGGTGCTACATTTCTCAACGATCGTCGATATTCTTTATCTAATTACGGAACCTGTGTTGATGTCTTTGCCCCTGGTGTTGGAATCCCAAGTGTGTCAATATATGGTGAAGAGGTTGTACAAGTTTATAGTGGAACATCGATGGCTTGTCCTCACGTTGCAGGTATTTTAACCCTGAAAATACAGGGTTATTTACCCGCCTGCCCCGCCCCCACCCCCCCCCCCCCCCTTCTGATCTCAGCAATGGTGCAACGAAATATCTTGAAATTTACCACGTTAAATTAATAGTTAAATCCACCATAAATATAAGCAGTACATTAGGTTACGAGATTATATCTCTCCAGCACTTGCTCTGTGGTCGACTGATTTGCAACAATTTCCTAGACTCAACCTATATCAACCTAAAATTGATTCGCGATCTTAACCCTATATCGCTATTTCTTTGACGAAAAAAATTATGCCCGGAGCCATTGTAGGCGGGGCAAATGATGAGTCACCACGCCCCCGCAATCAATTGCTAATTAAATAGCAATAACCAATCCTGATCATCGTTGCTTGCACATATAATATTCACAAGACTGACTATAAACCTATCAGAAGCGTTATTTTATATTTTGCAATCGATCGTATCAGTGGCGTACATTTTTTTCAAGGGGGGGGGTTAAAATTTAGAAATTGGGCCGAAAATTTCGCAACGACTCAGCCAGCCGCTGAATAAGCGGGGGGGGGGGGGGTGAGAGGACACCTTTTTTTTTTGGGGGGGGGGTCCCCAAAAAAGTTGAACTTAGCTCAGCAACGATTCACCAAGCCGCTATATAAGCGGGGGGGGGGGGGGGGGGGGGGGTAAGAGGACACTTTTTTTTGTAGTCTCAAAAAAATCGCAACGACTCAGCCAGCCGCTGAATAAGCGGGGGGGGGGGGGGGGGGAGGGGTAAGAGGACACTTTTTTTCGTGGTCTCCAAAAATTCGCAACGACTCACCAAGCCGCTGAATAAGCGGGGGGGGGGGGTCTCGGAATTTGGAAATTTGACATTTTTCTTCGTTGGGGGGGGGGTTAAGGTCACCTCTTTTAGGTCAGCCATGGGCATAATAAAAAAAAAAAAAAAAAAAAACACAAGGGGGGGGGGTTAGGGGGTTTTAGGGGGTTTACCCACATACAATTACCAAAGGGGGGGGGGGTTAACCCCCCAACTCCCCCCCCCCCCCCCCTACGTACGCGCCTGGATCGTAACCCTATGACCGAACCCGGATCACCGGCAAATCAGATGGCATCCTTTCCCTAATTAGAAGCCTACTTCATTTCCATTTCATTCGCATCCCATGATGCTTGTGCCCCCTCCAAAAAAAAAAAAAAAAAAAAAAAAAAACGATTTATCAATGACCGTTTCGTCGATTTGATTAAAAAAACGCACCGTCGAATCGATTATAACGGAAAGATTCTTGGTCATTCTGTGTAGGCAACTGTAGTTTTTTTTATCGTCAATCGTCGAAGAAGTGTTGGTCTGGCGAGTGTGGCTGGCGTATATGAGATACAAATATCTTGCTGTCCTTTCCCCATAGCACTTCTGAACTTTTTATTTTCCAAAAGTCATTTTCCGAAATTCATGTTATTTTCCACATAGAAACCAGTGTGAGTTTTAAAATAAAAATTTAAGCCAACAATTACCACTTTGTACGTGGAATTTGTTTTTTTTATTTTACACCGCATTGCCAATTTAGACACTTGAGGCTACAATGAAATCGCCTTTTCTTTTTAAATGGCAGAGCCTACTGCATTGGAATTGGACTCTAAATTTTCTGTGAATTGTGCCCTTTATACTAATGTATAATGTGTAATTCCTAGCATTCTGAATCAAAAGATAATGCAAAGACGTTACTAAAATGAGACGTTAATCAGTGTAAAATATGTGGCTTCCTTAAACAGGTGCTGTAGCTATCGCTCTCGGTAACTCTAAGGGAATGTCTCCTAGCGATCTCAAGAGGAAGATCATAGGTGACGCAACTACGGGCGTGGTTGAGGACGCTCGACCCGGTTCTCCGAATCGTCTCCTCTATGTGCCATAGGAACCCGAGGAACCCGCCCAGCATCGTATGGCACTAGACCGGTTCTAAATTATTTAGCACACGTTACAAAATAATAATCTCGAATATTACCACGCCTTCAAGCTTTTCAATTATATGGCAATCCTAGAGGGCGTACTTGGAAAGTAGTATTGTTAACCTGAATGTACCTACCCTCTATTTTAAATAAAACTTGAATAAACCTTGTTCAAGGTTATCTAATATTGATGTTGATTTTGATATGTATAAGTAATTTACTTTGATTATGTAATAATCATAATACTTGTTCATTATCATGACTATGTTTTAATTCATTTGTAATATTGTAAAAGACCATGACAAATAAATAAATCAAATCAATTATATATCCACAGATATTTTAAACTTGGTGTAGTTCCAATTTGGGTATCTTAGAATAATCACTTTTGTATTCCCCCGTATTCTGTTTATCCTTCTTATTTTGTTATCATTTCTTCATTTCCCCGCCTTCTCCCCTCTTGCATCATATGTCATTAGCAATTCCTACTTTTTCTTCAATTCGTCTAACACGTTGCAATATTGATTTCATTACACCTGCCGGATATATTATATTGCAGCAACGAATAGATGTATTGTTCATTGACTTCAGTATGCACTGTCAGCAGGGGCGGCGATTTCTTGGGGGGACGAAATGCGATGAGCATCCGTTTGAATTTCATTTGGGGGGACTGCCCCCAAAGCCCCCCCCCCCATCAGTACGCAAGTGCGATAGAGCATAGTGAATGAGAGGGGTGAAGGGGACGGAAGTGACTACCCCCTCACAAGTTTTTGAAGTTTTGTTGTATTACAAATTTACATTCCTTAGCAAAACTATAGTATAAAACAAGCAATTTACTTTTTTGACACTTCAATTTTCTCTTTATTTACTTGTATTTTTTTAAGGATATTATGCGAAGGAGCGTAGCTGCCGAGTGAGAAAAATTTTGCATTTTTATTTGTCTAAACGCTGCACTCTTGGGCTCTCCAGAGCATAAAAGTTTGTTGCAGTCTTTAGTCAGCATTTGCTTCTTTTTTTTTAAATGCACTTTTCAAATTTTGAGGGGGGACGTGTCCCCCCCCCCCCCCATCCCCCGGAATCGCCGCCCCTGACTGTCAGTCGAGGTGTCTAGACATATTCTACACGGAATGTGTCACTGGATTTCATGCTAGGAAATTACACTTCAATTATTTGTTGGAAATCAAGTCTAACTTAGCTCTCATTCCTCCTTAAGAGCCTTTATATTTCATTTTAAAGAATACACTTACGGGTTCAGGAATTCTGATCAAAAGCCCACTTAAGAAAACCCCGAAATAAACCAACTTTAAACGGATGGGATTTATCTATTCAAGTGTTCAATTATTCCACGCCTTACCAGTAAGAATTCGTCTTTTGTATGGAGGTATATAGATTCTCTGTCACTCACTGTCTATCCCACTTCTTTTCTTTTCTATCTCTCCCTCTCCCTCCCCTCTCTCCCCTTCCCATATCTTACTCTCCTGTTTTCAAGCTTCATTTTCTCTCTTTCGTTATTGGGACCCTTCGCCTTTTTTCTCACATTCTTTCTCTCTTTCCCTTTTCTTTTGTTATCCTACCCCATTTTATTCTAACATTATCCCTGTTGATTCAAATTACACTTGTCATATCATGTATGTGTATGTTTGTTATTTTAACTTAATGGGTTAGCTTTTTAATTGAATTTTGTAGTTCCTTTTTCATTCATATCACACTTTTTAGTAGACCCATATCGCATAATTATGTTTATGTTTGCAATTTCATTTTGTTGTATTAGCTTTCTCTCTTCACTCTGTTTTATATAGAAATTATGTTATCTTTAAGTTGTTTTTCCTATGTATTTTTTTATATTTAATTTGGTGTCTTTATGATCTGTTTATGCTTGTAATACGGACTTGCTGAAAAGTAGTCTTTTTAGGCTGATGTGAATTTTACCGTGATTAAATAAATTCCATTAAATTCAATTCTAAAATATGAATTTATCTATCAGACCGGCGTTGTGGTAACGTGTCTAATAACACTTAAGTTGTTGGTCAAGATCAGACCTCGTTGCTAATTATCATATAACCAGAAAAGGTCCCTATTGTCTTCGTATTTTTGAGTTGCGTATATTCATCTTCATTCTTCTTCTTTATTCTTCTTCTAAGTTCTTCTTCTTCTTCTTATGCTTCATCTTCTTCTCATTCTTCTTCTTCTTCTTCTTCTTCTGCTTCATCTTCTTCTCATTCTTCCTTCTTCTCCTTCTTCTTCTTCTTCTTCTGCTTCATCTTCTTCTCATTCTTTCTTCTTCTTCTTCTTCTTCTTCTTCTTCTTCTTCTTCTTCTTCTTCTTCTTCTTCTTCTTCTTCTTCTTCTTCTTCTTCTTCTTCTTCTTCTTCTTCTTCTTCTTCTTCTTCTTCTTCTTCTTCTTCTTCTTCTTCTTCTTCTTCTAGCGTCAACACTTCTACTTATTTATCTATTTATTTAGCTCCCATCTTTAATCAGAGTAGCATGTTCATTTATAAAACGTATGTACAATAAAAAGCAATTGAAATATTAAAAAGGTACATATAAGATGAGATTTCAAAGAACTTTAAAAGAACATAAAAACTGAACTGGTCTTCCACAGGGCTCTGCGTTAAAAAACACCATCATTTTCAATATACTTAAAATAAAATAAAATACACTCGTGCCTTCAGTACCGGGCTTCAGTACTGTTGAATGTGACTACAAATTTACAAACATAATTATAGGGCTATGAAAATCAAGAAAGCATGAGCAAGAGGGTGGAGAGAGAGAGAGAGAGAGAGAGAGAGAGAGAAGAGGCCTATATTGTGATAGAACGGTATATAGAGCGAGGGGGGGTAAGCGAAAAAGACTGTCTAAGCGACATTGGAGGAAGAAGGGAGAGGGAACGAAAGAGAGAGAGAGAGAGAAGGAGAGAGAGAGAGAGAGAGAGAGAGGGGAGAGAGGGGAGGGGCAGTCATACAGTAAAACAGATGGCAAAAGTTGTCAAATCGAAATTGCTTGTCATCTTCAGTTAGTTTTAATCCCATACTAGACGCGGGGTGCTCAAACTTTTTCCTTGGCGGGCCAGACGTGATTTCCATGATAGCTAAAAGATGCGATACAATTGGCAAATTTAATTAAATTACTCAATTTTCATAGATATAAGTTTGTGATATTATACATACATTTAAACGTACCTTAATTTCAAGAGGTGAGACAGTCAAAAATGGAAGTTCTGGGATACATGTTGATGTAGGGTATATCAGTGGGAAAAGAAGCCCTGTTTTCCGGCGATAAGCTACTTAGAAATTGGTACAAAGGCGAAGGCATTGATAATTCTCAAACAAAAATCCTAAAATTAATAATTTTATACTGAAGAAAAGGAGTCTTGTTTTTGTTTTGGTCTACATCTGATCTAAGGGGAATTGTTACAGTTTAATCCTAAAAAGACCGTTATATTATTTTGGTACTCAAAGCCGAGAGGGGTCGGGCAGATGACCCCTTGGAATCTCGGCCATTGAATGACAAAAAATTATTAAACTTGGAATATTGATAGAGTATCTCATAAAGAATACGTCCATGGAATGTTATATAATTACATGTCTCAAATGGCTTTTGAATGATTACTGATCAACTATTCACATATCAGCGAAGTGACAATTCTGCATTGACGTTGTGTCCCGCCCCTCCCCCCTCCCACCCCCCACTCAGGGGTCGGAATGACCGCATGCGTGTTCCAAATATGTCCAGTAAAGGGGTACTTTTCGTGCAACAAAGTCCGGCCCGAGAATTGTAAAAAAAAAAGCGGTGTATTTGACTTTTCACCCGGAGATTTCTTTAAAAAGGGGGTGTTTTTCCTTTTTTTTCTCTCTCATCTCTTTGGACTCCTGAGAAGTTATTCCGAATTTAGGGGGGTACATTGAGCATTTTTCCTGATTTAGGGGGTCTCCAAGGCAGGAAAAGCCCGCGAAAAGCCCGCGAAAAGCCCGCGAAAGGGGGGTTCGGAAACTTTGGCAGTCCTCAGATAAGGGGTGCTTTCAAAAAGAGGGAACGAGCATATGCGTACCCTAAATAACACTGAGTGGGGGGGGGGGGGGCATTGTGTGCAGTACATAACTGGGTAATTGTTCATTTTGGTCGCACTTAGCGCGACTATCTTTGACACTAAACGGAGAACCCATTGTATGCTTCATGGTTGAAATTATAACAATTTGGTACAAAAAAGATAGAGTGGATTCTGCCCCCCCCCCCCCCCCCCGGCTCTTTCCCCGGCGGTCCGGATTGACATGCCCCGGCGGTCCGGACTATAGTCCGGACCGCCGGTGCATGTCAATATGAGAAGCCCTGCTATATAGACAAATTTAGACTTAAAAGAATTAGAGAATTAGGAAACCATTGCATGTGACGGAAGGAACCAAGCCTGGTGTGGTGCAACAAGAGCACCTATTCATTTCTTTCCTTTCATTAATTTCCTTTCCTTTCCTTTCCTTTATTCCTTTCCTTTCCTTTCCTTTCCTTTCTTTTCTTCTCTTTTCGTTTCTATTATCTTCTTTTCCTCTTTATTCCTTTCTTTTCTTTGTCTTTTCTTTCCATTTCTCTCCTTTTCTCTTCTGTTCTCTTGTTTTCTCTTGGTATCTTTTACTTTCCTCTTCTTTTCTTCTCTTTTCTGAGTCGTTTCTTTTCTTTATTCTCCAAAAATCGCGACATCGCCAAAGTGACATGATGCGCCGGCGAGGGCGGCATTCGGAAAAAATGGCGGATGTTGAAGTGAAAAAGCTGAAGGTAAGCTTTTATTTTTGAACGTGGTGTAGGTGCCTTGAAGCTTTAAATATCATTTTCTGTATTCGATGGCTATGAATTATTACAGGAGCGACAATATGTGTGTGAATGATGCTGTGATTGCATTCTCTTTTCTCGATACTCTGTGGTCAATTATGTGACTATGGATTATCATCTGTCGATTCAGTCCCACATATTGCAAAAAGTGATGTGAAATTAAGCCTTTTTCCCCGCGCATAGCTTTATGTGTAGAATTGGTTCCTGGGCGCTCGGCTCTAGTCTAGCTTTTGTGTACTCCTACAAAATATCACTCGAGGAGGATTTTTTCAGTTTTAGATAATAATTTTTGACATGTCTAACTGACTGGCACTTCGTAAATGTGCTGCTGCCGTATAGGTCTAATGCGCTGAATAACACTCGTACAGCGCATTCGGAAGCAGCACAATCACGGAAGTGCCAGTCAGAGGTCATCACCATTGTGTAGAGATCGTGAATTCACACGCTACACATGATAAGGGAGCTAAGCTGTAATGGTCTGGTAAGAAAATAGCTATTATTTCCTTATTTTTACCTCTGATTTTTAAATTCAGGATGTAGATCTAATTACGATTTCAACTAACATAAAATTCATCAAAGCCACTGTCCAATATTGGTCGGGTGCGGGAAAGTGTGATTTTGGACACATTTGAGATGTTCTTTACCTACCTCTCCGTGCAGTGGTATGGTAGGCACATTCATGGGGCACTAGAGGGCGCTTCGCGAGCGTACGAAAATCTGAATGGCCTTGCTGGGGTGGGTCGGCAATAATCGGCCCAAAACTTGGATATGGGAGGGTGGAAGGATATATCTTTTTTATAATGTTATCCTGTCTTACCCCTAACCATCCTATGTTTAATCTATGTAGAAATAACATGCGAGTACGATAAGAGAAACATCGGGCCCATTACTGATGCAACTTTTTAAATATTAGCCTAGAAATGACCACCAAACGGAAAAAATTACATTTTTTTCCGACAAATCTTCATAAAATCTGAGTTATAAGCAACTCACAACTAGGCTCGGTAATGCAAATACGATTTTCTGAAAATTTAGATGTGATTTTTTAAGTTTCTTTCAAGTATATTTCTGCGCATCACAGCGCAAATTTTCTTCACTGCTTCAAAATCACCCTTGAAATTTTTTTTTGCAACGAATTTGATACAGGGTCCGTGAGTGTTCCCCGTTCCTTGCGTGTTGAAAGTTTGGTAATACAAAGTTTGCATTGACTCGCGCACGAAAAAATGGCTCGAAAACAAATGTCAAAACGAGAAATAAACAAGCTTTTGTATAGTTATAAGAGATCTACCGAGGTTTCTTTGTCGATATAATTTATTATATAGTCTCAATTAGAATTCAGAATTATCTCACTGAAACCGACGATGTTCTCGATCGTAGTTATTTTCACTTTGCCAGCAGACGTTCTAGCGTGGTTTTGGCAAAAAGCTAGCCCGCCACCTTCCCACCTCGAACCTTTCGAGTTCCGCTAAAATTGTGCGCTGCGGAGCTCCGAGGGTGCGTTGGTATCGCTGGCAAACTCTCGGGCGGCTAGCTCCCCACGACGGACCATTCGCGGTATGGCGAGAGTGTGTGTGTGAGATACGATTTTGGATTCGAGAACGCACGTACCACAACCGTGCGCGTCATTTTCAGCTGTCGAATGTCTACGACCAATTTTACATGTACGATTTTTAGTACAGATACTTGGTCAGTTTTCTTCTTATATCTTTGGTTTTACAACATTTAAAAATATAATTTCTTCAAATTTGCTCCTGACTCGGTTCAGACTAATTGTCTGATGTGTTTTCAAGTCAATTTCTTGAATATATTTTTTTGCATGAATTTGCCTAGGTATGGGAGCCGGCTAAGGCTCCCTTGAATAATATCATAAAAAACATTTCAAGGAAGCCCTTAAGGCTAATTGCAGTCATCAATATTCATTGACATTGTGTGCAACACTCCTGGCCCGCGCTATCAAGTGGGATAGTTCCATGTGTGAATACATGGGGAAGTCTGTGCCATGCCTGATAATATCGCTGCTATGGTGTGCAGGCATTCAACGCTGCTGGTTTTTTTATCAGCAAACTCTATTGAATGTATACATAGGTCCACAGACTGGTGCAGCTACATTTAGCTCTCAGACGGAAAAAGAAAATAAATATTACAATGGGAACTCTTTATTTTTATTCTTGTTTTGTACAGGATTTTTCTCTTGTTCAAACAGTTACAATATGGAATTCCCTGATACAGTTAAAAGTAAAAAAGGAATGTGCGTTCAAGAATTGGATTCTGTCTTATGTGGCTGCAAACCACTACATTGAAGAGTCTGTGATCGATTTTTTTTTTCCTCCACAATCTAGAAAGAACAAAATAATTGAATTTAGTAGACTTTACTTAAACCTAGTCAGTAGATAAATTAGTGTTCGGTCAGGGATTTTCATCCCTGAGGTGCTTTTGGCTGGTCCATCGTATGCATTCCAAATTCATTTTGAAAGGTACGCACAGCATCACAATGGGTTCTTTCGAATGCCTCTTCCACAGATTGCAGAGCTACGCAAGGAGCTGACAGACAGGGGTCTAAGCTCAAAGGGTAACAAGGCTGAGCTGGCAGAAAGATTAGCAGAAATCCTTGATGGTTCAGGTAAATTACTAGTAGTACATGTATGACTTGGAGCCTTTGTCTCTGAAGGACAATTCCTTCCAGTGTGTGCAACATATTATTGCCTTTGTCCATTCATTTCATTAAAAAGAAAATCTCTTAAGTATTGTTGATTCCGATATCACTACCATTTTCCACTGGTCGTATTTAAGGCATTGTAACAATGTTTCGAGTTTTACAAATCTGATATCTGAAATCTGCATGGCCCTACATGTACTTGTTACCAGTGTCTGTGATATGGTGTAATATTGAAGCCCTAAAAGAAATGCACTTCAAAATGATCATGAAGTGCTTCAAAAAGAAAAAAAAATTGAGTGACCGGTTTTACCATACTGATTTTTCCCGAATAGACTGTAGTGTTATAAAAACCGTTGGGAAAATTTTAAATTCCAATCATAAATATCTTGATAATCAGACAGGTTAATGTCTGCACAAAGCTGGCTGCGTACATGTAAATGCAAGAACACTTCAACGAGGCAACTCTGCGAGCAACAGTAACAAGTTTTTCTTCCTTGCAATCACATTTTGAAACAACAGTCTACAACAAATTTTGGAGAAAAAAAATCACATACATGTCTCAAAACTAAGGCTGCGACGGGTAGTCGAATGCTCGAGTACCCGCACGGTTGACAACTACTCGGGTACGATTTCTCGTACCCGAATATTCGGCCGCAAAAAAAAAAAAAAAAAAAATTTTTTAAATTAAAAAAAAAAAAAAAATGTCCAGGCCCACGCTTACCCGTGCCAGGGAGAGCGGCAGCCGCTGGCATGGTACCGTCGGTAAAAATGTTTCCCAACTCAAGCACTGTCAAACTCACCTTTCAGAAACTGGGACCAAATGTCCAGATTTCTGTTTGGACTTGGAGGAAAATGGATTATTCTGCCATCTTTGGTTTTTAAAACAGCATTGTTTACTGTTATTATTCTTATTAAATCGACGCCTTCAACTGCAACTCAAAGTAAAATTGCATGCGTTTTGGGCGAGGTTGTTGTTGTTCGTTTGGTATTATAATGGCTATTAGTCAAATTTGACTATTGTTGCCAATTTCATCGCATCTCTTTCTTTTAATGTCTTGGTAAAATTATTATTTCTTTCTTTCTTTTTCCATCTCATTTTAATATAATATTAGTCATAGTCTACAAAAAAATAAAAACAAAAAATTATTTCAAATTAAACCACGATCCGCACACAGTTCCAACTCACGCTGGCCCTGTCCTTTCTATGATGCCTTCTTACCAGCCCAGCGAGTTATGTTACGCCGTACGCTTCTCGGTTGATAAACTCAACCTAGGTCACTCTGGCATAGACAAGGGGGCGTCGTGTACCTGTATGTTTAGAGGGTTTATTTATTTATTAGGAGAAAGACAACTGCATAAGCAAAACACTTGTGGGCTTTATTAGTTTATATGAGTTAGTTCATGAGATTATTTATATAGCGCATGACTTTTAACTACTATAATCATTGGGGGGTGACATGCTTTCGAGTAATGATATAGCAAGTTTTAATTGCTTTTTTTTTTCCCCAGCAGATTTCATGTATCCTTCTCTCTCTCTCTCCTCTCCACTTCCCTAAAGTTGTGTGTATGTATTAAGATATGTTTTTCGATTGGTCAAATAAATAATGTTAAATTGTTTCAATCATTATTTTTTTTTTTTTTTAAATTAAAAGAGGCCTAAATAAGATATATAGGTCTATACGATCAAAACTTCAAATAAGACACTAATACAGGTGTAGGCATAAGGTTATACACAAAAAACCTATTTTCTCTTCTATTCAGCTCAAATTGATTGCGGTTTCTGTTTTTCATCTCTTTTTGATTTTACTTTTTACATAATCGCTTCGTTCTAAAAACGAAGCGAGAAATTGCCATTTGTACATGAGAGTCACTGTTTCGTAAACATATCATAATGTCCTCTTCCTTGGAAATATTAACTTCTGACATTAACATGGCCCTTTCTATTATATACTTTGGACATTCTATCAAAAAATGTCTGACCGTTTCTAATGTTGGGCAGCTGTCACAGAAACCTGTGGAGTGGATGCCCAAACGCAAGAGGTCTTGGTTGAGTCCAGACACTCCCAGGCGTAGTCGCCTAAGAATAGTTTCAGTTTTTCTTCCCAATTTACAAGAATATTGTGAGATAACATTTGGCTGAAGGATTTTTAATGCCGATTGGGTATCCTTCCACCTTTCTTGCCAAAGTAACTTTGAACTGTACAAAATTAAACTTGTCTTTTCAAATAAAGTCAATTTATTATGCATTTCAATTTCCTGAGTTAGAGCTTTTTTTGCGTAGAAGTCTGCCTTTTCAGGGATCTGAGAAACTGCCGAGTGGTATGGTAGTGGCAAAAAAAGTCAAAAAAGAAAAAAAAGTCAAAAAAGTCAAAAAATCAAAAAATTCAAAAAAAAATCAAAAAAAAAATCAAAAAAATTCAAAAAAATTATAAAAAAACATGGCGTCCGAATACACGAGTATTCGCCTGTAAGCATGGGAGTGTACTCGGGTACCTCATTACACTGTTGTGCACAGCCTTACTCAAAACCAAGTGAAATGCTGAAATACACTTAAGTATATGATATTTGTTGGATAGTTCATAATGTCTTCTTGATTCGATAGGTCGGTCACCAAAATGCAATCACGGTTGGCCGAGCACTTGTCATTTTCAGAAAGCATGCCAAAATTGCCTTTGCCTAAGTTTGGAATGATTCGCGTTCACGAGTTGGTTTGATCATGTGTGAGGGCATTTATTTGGAAAAAGAATTGTTCAACCTAACCTTGCATTGACCACCAATCTCATTCAAAACTTGGGCAGAGGCAAATTTGACATGAATCAGGAAAATTCTCACTGTTCTGCTCTCCCTTGCTGGATTCTATTGATTAAGGTGTTCAATTTAAAAAAAATTAGTGTAGGCTACAACATGAGCGTCTTTTCTAAATCTGTATGTATTTGTTTCAATGATATTCAGAGTTGAATATGGGTTTCCTTTATTGGGTGACTAGGGCCTTGATCTATAGCCATATAGCCAATGGAGAAGTAATCTAATAATAATAATAATACATAAGATTTATAAAGCCTCAAATCCACTTGACAGTCAAATGCTCAAGGCGCAGCTTGTGCAAAAGATGAAATACATAAATGATACATTTAAACCAAGTGCGATAGGAAAGGTACAGACATGAAAGGTTATGGTAATCAATTATAAGCTAAATTAAACAGATATTTCTTAAGATTTTTTTTTAACACTTCAGCAGAAGTGCTATTCTTAATTGTTTCTGTATTGTTTCTATCCCATTCTACATAGGTGGCGATGCTGTCTTGGACAATTCTGTCTTAGACCATGAAGTCGATGCTGATGGTAAGTGGGCCATTACTTGACACGTTTTAGAGGTGTTGTGGTCAAGTGGTTGAAACTCTTGACCAGAATGCAAAGACCGTAGGTTTGAGTCTCAGCATGGCACTAGTGTCCATTATGCAAATTATTTATCTACATTTGCCACTCTCAACCAGAGTGATAAGTGGGTGCCCGATAGGAGGGGAATGTTAATGTGGTTGGATAGACATGTGGTGGCTTGTAAGATGGCACCCGGCTGGAATGCTTTCCAGGGAGCAGAGTATGTGCACTTTCATGTGCCGATTAGCAATTGAATCCAGTAACTTGGGTGATAATAATCACAATTTAGAGCGTTTAGAAACATGGTATTGAGAGCTATAGAAATGAGAATACTATTGATGTTATTATAAAGATGTGGTTAGTAGGTCATGTGAGGGACAATAATAATAATACAATATTCATAAAACGCATAATAAACAAAAGTTTCTCTATAATGCGCTGTACAAGCATGAATGATGAGAAATATAATCACACGAAAGGAATCAACAAAGAGAAATATACAAATCTTATAACTTCTAAAATAACTTTAGTAGTTATAAGATTTGTATATTTCTCTTTGAATTGCCCATTAATTAATTTTCTCTGTTTTATTCAGTCCTTACAGCAGATGATGAGGTGGATGATGAGGTGGAAGATCTATTAAATCAAGATGAGGTGAGTTGTTTTTATTTCATATTCTTAAACAGTTCATTATTTGAATTAGGATATGAAATTGTGAAGATATGTTGGGGTCACTCCTCAAATACGGCAAGCCTGTAGCTTAGTTCACCACCTGCATGTTAGACAAGAGGGAATGTACAGTTAACATCAGAATTATAGCCTTAAAGGGACTTGGTAACATTGTTAAGATGAGAGAAAGTGGTGCGTGACTTCAATGCTCGATGTACAATTAAAGATAATCTGAAAATTTGATTGAAAACGGGCCAATATTAATGATACAAATTGAGAAAAACTGATCTGATCAATTCCCTAATTCTCCCAACTATATTATTACAATTTGATTACATTTTACTCGAATGTAAGTCATCACAAGGCAATGAATTGGCTCTATAGCATTCCAGACATTTTAGTGCTGAAAGGTTTTTCATAGCCTGTTTTATGTCTTTTTTCATGGAAAAATGGTTGGGAAAATTCAAAAATGGTTGGTACATGTAGAATTTACTGTTAATCACTGTTACAGGGTGTTGCACAGTGACGCCTTTTTTTCAGGATTTGTTGCATGTTAGAGGATTAGGGTTAGAAGGAATATAATAAGTAACATTTCATAATAAAATTATTCAATTTTTTCATCGACCTTCAACAATGTTACTGAGTCACTTTAATAGCATTAATAAGAGCAGATTTATGAATAATATTGATACATTAATTCATCATTTTTTGTTTGTGTTTTGGCAGGACCTTGATGGAGGGGATGAAGGAGAAGAAGATACAGCTGCCACAAGAAAAGTAGAAGTGGAAATAGAAGAGGAAGAGGCGGAGACGAAGGTTGAGGCTCCTGAAATCAAGAAAGTTATCTCTCCAACTACCAAATCAATGACAGATACTGAGGTGAGAATGGTCCCACAATACAGTGGATTCAACGTCCACATCGCCATCTAGCGACACCAGTGTTTAGTCAATTTCATGTGATGCAACATGGGAAAAATTCAACATCGTTGTGTTTTTGTTATATATACTCTAGGAAATAAAGGGTTTTAGTCAAAAAATTTGTCAGGGAAGTTCATGAATCTTATCCTGGTTAAACAAAATTGCTGATTCCAAAAATGTCTTATTGACACTACTCACGACATTTTGTTCATTGTATTATTGTTTTGTACATGTAATTCTATTCCATTCCTTAGAATTTCTCCCCTGTATCCATGCTAGGTCAAACTGACTCATGTATGATAATGTTTGATAATGGTGATATGATTGTGTGACTTTGTTTTATAGTATGCTAACTATAGCTTCTTTCTCCCCTATTTATTTTGAATCAATCAACAGAAAAAAGCATTACGAGCTCAGAAATTTGGAGTTGCAGGTTCCCTCTCAGATGCAGACAAGAAGAAGGCAAGAGCAGAAAGGTAGGCATTTTAAAAAGTGGCTTTAAAGGCTGGGTATTTGACCGACATTGCTACCACTGCTGTAATGTACTTTCAATTGCGCCATCTTTTGGTGAAGGCGTACATAGAGTGATTTTTGGTTTCTGTTCCCAAGCATCTTGATGCGCGCGTCATCAGTTGGTGGTGCATCGTAGGGCATAGCTGTCGATACATCGGGACATTGTGAGCAGCAGATGGCAGTAGACGTAAATCTGTAGTAGTGTCAGTAGAATACCCTGCCTTTAATTGCATGAAATCATTGAAATACAATAGCAGTTGTTCTATGGCCCGAAGTTGCTGCAGTCTAGCTGGGTTAAAAGCCAGGTCATAATACTAGGTGCCTTGAGCATCCCATCATCCCATGGGATGGATATGTGCACAATGTAAAGTGTAGCTTTCATTATTATTCCTGATAAACAATTAGCTGTAGCCTCTAGGTTTTTGAAAGATTGTCATAAATGACATTTTAAGTGTTAAATATTTGATTGTAGTGCTTGAGTAAAAAATAAAATGAGGAATAACATGAATTACTGACATGTAGTCCATGGAAATAAACTTCAGATAAAGGGCATTCAGATACGAAGCAGTAAATCATGGTTATTTTCGACGTGTAAATGAATGGCACCTGTGCGAAATGAAGGCCTTGCACGCATTCACTAAGCTCTGTGTTGTGAGATACAGAATTGTGAAACGTAAAACATGCTACGTCAGCGTAAAAAACTTGACACAGTTTCCACGTATCTGAAAGAGGCTTAAGGATACATGAAATTAATCATAACCATTTATAGTCTCAACAAATAGGACAGCACTCAGGTTCTTGGGCAGGTGGGCACTGAATGGGTCAAACATCGGAGAAACTTTTGTAGTACATATTCGTTTTCCTTTCTTTTGTTATTGACTAGATTTGGAATGAAAGCACCAGAATCAAAAGACAAACCAACAGCAGCAGCAACACCAACTTCAAAAGGAATATCAGTGGTGAGTACTTAAAAAGAAGGCTGAGTTCTGGCAAACGCGATTGTGTTATACTGCCCTCTTGTGGCAGGTATATGTTCTGTGGTCACTTTGTGGTAATACACCCATTCCCGGTTAAAGGTAATACAAAGTTTTGGGAAATTTTGAAAATTGGGTGGATAGTGAATCTTTACAATTTGGTTATATTTGGATGCCCCTGTGGATGTATTATATGCACTAAAAAAATTAGCCCGTAAAACACTTCTGTTTTCGAGAAAATTTGAATATAAAAATTTACCGGTGCTCCCGGTAAATGTTGATAATATTGCCTATGGCCGTACAATGGTAGCTGCGACCATGAAAATCTCAGAATATGTAGTTGTGATATATAATTTCCAAACGGGAATAGCTAATTGGTCGATTTTAGTCAAGAAACATTGTTTCATAGCTAAAATAATATCTTGACCTTGAGAGGTAGCTATACAACTTAAAGAGTTTATTATTTATAATTTCATAACTTTAGGCTTGATTTTAATCGCGAGTTTCGCGACAACGATCACTGAATATTGTAGGATCGCATATGCTTCCAATATGTTAATTTGAACCAAATTCATGACCCCATACCAAAACTTTGTAATACCTTTAAAGGGATCCGGTAACTTTGTCTCAGATTCTGAAATAAAATTCTGGATTTAGCTCATGATGCAATGATAATTATAAACCTTTAGGTCAGTCAGGAACCCCATGACTTTTACAAGCCGATCGCCTGTCTGATTATCAAGATATTTATGATTGGAATTACAAATTTTGAAAACCGTTCGCCTGACGGTTTTCATAACATCACAGTCTATTGGGGGAAAACGAGTATGGTAAAACCGGTCACTCAAAGATTTTAATTTTTTTGAGGCACTTATTGATCATTTTGAAGCGCAATTTTTTTAGGGCTTCAATATTACACCATTTCACAGACACTGATAACACGTAGGGCAGTGTATCTCAGATTTAACAATGTTAAACGATCCCCTTTAAGGCCACCATTTTAATTCGCGCGTAAACATTGCGTCATCAATGTCTACATATACGCATGTATTGTTACGTCACTGCCTGTGCTGTGTGCTTATACTGTATCATATTTACATGGGCGCCTTTTTAATTTTGTTCAATTTTTGTTAAATTAAAATGGTGCCCATGTCTGCGCATGCACACTGTTGTAACCGTAAAAGGGTGTATTGCCCTTTTGAAACACTGTGCCTGTTCAATGCTTAACCTAACTAAATAAATGTAGAGTAACCATAAAAACTATTGTGGTTTGAGTGCTTTCTGTAGTGTTGTGGTGGCCAGGTTTTTTTTGCGGTACTGGCCCTTTTTGGGGCGCTTAGGGGTTACCCTAAATAAATATACAGGTAGACCGTAACAGCTAATGTGATTGGAGTGATATCTCGACTGTCAAAATGTGAAAAATAACTGTTAGTTTACTCATGCTTTTTAAGTCAGTTTGGAAAAATATCATAGAAGAAATGTCCTCTGTAGAGGATCAATTTTAAAATGCCCTCGTAGTAGAAAATAAACAGTTGATACCAATCACGATTCCCACGTTGACATTGTTGTATTTTTGCGACTTTATCTCCCCCCCCCCCCCCCCCCCCCCCCCCCTCCCCCCCAGTCCGTAGATACAGACAAACTCAAACAGAGAGCTGAACGCTTTGGAAAATCTGTGTCTCCACCAGCACCAGCAATTAAGGTAAGCTACTTATTGATTTCTCTGTTTTTTCACTAGTTGTTGAATTTGTAATCCATGAACAAATTGCAAAGGAATAGGAATTATCTCTTTATGCAGATTGTAAATTTTCTTGCAGGTTGTAAATTGAAATTAATGTATATGAAATTGATTAATTGAAACTCACAAAAAGGTATAATCTAATCTAGTCTGATAAAAATTAAAGTATTTCCATAATTTTACAAACATGTAGACCACAGGTAGCCTGTAGGCAAACAGTGCAGGATCTGATTATTTGTTTTATCCACCATATGCACTTACATTTTACCTGAGTCATAGATTATGATAATACAAATTGGATGTATATAGTGTATTTTCCAGTGGATACAAGGCACTGTCCCTCAGTGTATGAATAAATTAAGAAGATTAGTAGAGGTATGTTTTCAGATTATTTTTGAAGAAGTCTAGGGAATTGTGATTTCTAAGAAATGCAGGGAGAATTTTTCTATAGGCGTGAAGCAAGAGATTATGTGCCACATGTGCCGTAAACATAATTGAACTAGTGAAGTCAATTTTGTGTAAGCATACAAGTTCATGGTGAGATATAAGACAAGATACAGTCGAACCTCTCTATAGGGCCTGCCCAAGGGAAATGCAACAAGTGGTCTTTGAAGACAGGTTCCTTTAGTACATGTTTCAATGAGAAACCATTTTCAAGGGGGAAAAAAAATGTCTTTGTAGACAGGTGGTCACTAAAGCATGTTTGACTGTATAACATATTTCTGCCTTTCAAAACATCTTTCAAACATGGTGTGCAATGTGAGACTATGTTTTGGTTTGTTTGTTTAATTGGCATTTTACGTTCCTGTTTCTGGCTTCATTAAAATGTATGGATGCTCTCTGAGCTGAAAATGAACACCTGCTGTGTTTTGTATTTTACAGGGTGAGGAGGCAGAGAGGATAAGGAAAAGAAAAGAAAGGTTTGGAGCTGTGACCATCTCTGGACCAGGCTCAAAAGCAAAGACCAATGCTGCTGGGGGTGATGATGCCGAGGTATGTATTGATGATAGTGTCTCGTATTGTACCCCTTCTACTAATGGGGGATTGTAGACTGTCTGGACACCTATCAATTACGAAAGCTGTCGCATTTGTCGTTGAATTTTACAGAAATAAAACACTGCCATGTCAATACAACATTGTGCAAGATAACCTTTCAACAAATTGTGAAATCTTAAAGGTAAAAACAAGTTTTGGAAATGCCCCTCTTTACCAATCATGTGAAAGAATATGTTTTGACTAATACGTGATCATACAAATTTTGCTGAGAAACCGCCTACCAATTGATATATTTGGTAAATTATTATATCTATTTGCACCTGGTAGATATAACGCATGGGCCAAATTTCTTATCATTTTGATGATTCCAGAACCTTGCAGTACACACCAATACTTATATGCTAGATGATCAACCTTTTCTACTTGATTCCACAACGTTTCTTTCACAATGCAATCGCATGACCATAACTGGTCTTTATCTTTAATGGAAAAAGTGTTTGATTATCCATCTAGATAACCAACCTGGGGGGTGTTTCATAAAGCTGTTCGTAAGTTACGCACGACTTTACGCACGTCTGGTGATAAGTTCTTGTGCTACATGTAAATGATTGAGAATCTGATTAGCACCCAAGAACATGTTCCAGTCGTGCCTAAAGTCGTGCGTAACTTACGAACATCTTTATGAAACAATTTTTCCCCATTGCTTCCAGACAGATTGATTCACATTGTAATCGTACACAACATCAGCTTCAACATTGTTATATCAATGATATATTATGTTCATCAATAAATAATTCAATAAGTAGGGATAGCATTATTGTACATGACCTTGTGTACTCTGGTGCCTATGTCACAGGCTAGAATCTTCAAGCTCTTCAATTCTTCAGATAAAAAGATGAACCCACACACAACAAAATTTGAGTGGCATAAACATCTGTCATTAAACATCAAATTGTTAATTTATTTTGTATTTCACTGTATCTAATTGTTTTTATTTTTGTGGGAAATATATAACAAAAATAATGATCAAAAAGAGAGTATGAATTGGATCTGCGAGATAAAAGTATATCTGAAGATGCTCAACTCTATGCACAGCCGAGATCTGATTCTCACTTGTAACACTGGCGCTAACAGATCAGTCTTTGTTCTCTTTCTTCCCTATCCAGGCCAAGAAACGCAAGAGAGCGGAAAGGTTTGGGATGGCATAGCAGGAAAGCTTCAGGTATTCAGCAAAGCTTTGTGACCGTGTTCCTTTCAGCGTGTCCTAGCGCTTGTACAGCATCCTGTAGATCTTTCTTCCACCTCCTGAATACCTCAGTGACACCGCCAAAACCGTCTCCAAACCAACTGATTGTTGGCTATTTGTAATGTAATGTAAATTCATGGCCGGTGTTTTACCGGTCCGGCGTTCTATCGGTCCAATGTTTTATGGGTCCGATGTTTTATCGGTGCGGTGTGTGTCTCGTAGATGCGACTGAGGTACATGTATAACTCTGTAAAGCGCACTGAGCCATAAGCCCTAAGGACGGAAAGGACATTGGGGGATTCTATGAGACCCATTTATTAGCAGATATCTCCCAAAAGTCAATGCTGCCCTCGCCAGCTGAAAGGAAACAAGTAACCTTTGGAAAGTTCTTTTTGTTGTATAATCCAAGCCCACAGGAGTCGAGTATCTCCTGAATTGAGCCTATGAAAATGGGAAATTCTGACTTTTTTTGTCGTGTTGTGCAAACTGAAATACTATAACTGATTCCAAAATGGGGGTGTGTAGTTTGTTAGTTTTTCTTCTCCTTCTTTTGTTATTGAAAGCCTCATTCAACTTGAAAAATTGACACGTGACAGAGTGCTTGGGAAATAAGACTTGCTTTATATCGTAAGAACAATTTGTTGCTTGTTTCCTTTTCCCCAGTGGCAGAAGTTATATCAGGTTTTGATTAGATCTATGGGAATGTAAATTCTGATTTCCACTTGCTTGCTTAGCAGCTGTTGCTCTCAATTAGAATTGGTATTCTGTTGGACTTCATCCTGAGAACTAAAGAGAAGGTACCATTTCTCGGCTTGGTCGGTTCTTACCTACAAAAGTTCCCAGATGCAGAATCGAAGGATGTAATGATATTCCAACCATGATATATTTATTAAGTTAGTGCAAACAATAAAATATTTGGGTAGAAGCTGTGATTTCTTGTAGCACTAGCAGCATCAGTATTTATAACGAGTTTTTCTTACAATTCATGAAGGAAAATGAAAGATATTATTAATGTTTAGTGCTCACGTAGAAGCTTAAAGGGTAATCCAACCTTTGTAATAATTTAATTTGAAAGCAGAAGAATCAGAGAAACAGTATGGTGAAAGTTTGAAATAAATTAGATCAATATTAAGAATATTATGAGTGTTTGAAACATGAAATCACTAAAGCTAAGCAAATTTTAAATCAGCAATTTGGTCAGTTGATTGTGATGTAGTCGTAGATAACTCTACCATTTGTTTTGTATAAAAAAAATACCCTAGGTTTATGTCTTTCTCTTAAGCATCTTCTCCCTAGGAGCACTACACAGAAATGTTCTGTGGATAGCATATTTTTAAAGGTTCTTTAAAGGTATAGACCAGTTTTGGAAACACCCCCCCCCCCCCTCTCAAAAAATGAATTGGAAGCTCTTATTACCAATCATGTGAAAGAATATATTTTGACTAATACGTGATGATACCAATTTTGCAGGGAAACCGCCTACTAATTGATATTGGTAAATTAATATATCTATCCCGACTGGATAGATATCGTGCAGTCCCATATACATCTTTTACACCAATACTTATATGCTAGATAATCAACCTTTTTCTGATCGATTCCTCAACGTTTCTTTCACAATGCGATCTCATGACCAGAACTGGTCCATACCTTTAAAAACAAAAGACACCCCAAGTCATAGAATTTGAAAAATTATAACTTCAGTTATATTGAGTGTTGGAACAAATAGGAAAGTTGTCCAGCGCTTTGACACAGTCACAAGACTGATTTTGCCAATTTAAAGTGCCCATACATTCAGTGATTAAATCTCTCAAAAAGTTGTAACTTTTTATGTTTTGTCCAATTTCGTTCAAATTTTCACTAATATGAATTCTTTTAGAGCAGTCTGCTAATATGAATTCTTTTAGAGCAGTCTGCTACTCTGCTGTTAAGGTTGGATTTCCTTTTGTGCTTTATATCTATGTCCTAGTTAGTGTAGAATGTATCAGCGATTTTCCTGACTTGTATGCATTTTTTTTCTATATTTGAAATTGTAGTACACATCATATCTCCTTGCATCCTTTGTGATTAATTCATTGTAGAGCAAGCAACTTTTCTGAATATTTTTTCTGCAAACTTTCTAGTCTTGAGTCCCTCTTAGAGGGGCAATATGATGATTTCTCTGAAAGCTAATCTTGAGCTCTGGTACGGGAATCATATTTTTTGAGAGAAAATTGCTACAATTTATTCTGGATTGTTTTTTCTGCAGTAGATCGGTTGTTTGAACCAGTGAGATAAAAACAAATGTACAAACATTTACTGGGCATCATCTTCAATAAAAAACACAACTCCCATTTGCACATAGTGACCTGTGTTATGGTGTTGGGCCTGCTTACCCCGATATCCTTATCTTTCTATGCTCATTTCTCAGCCACCATACATTTTCTACTAAAATTGTTTGGCAACATTTATTTGTCATATTCAACATGCAGTGTAAGTTTAGTTGGATCCTGTGAGAATTTATTTTCTATATGGACCAGAACTCAGCTTATCTTTAAATCAAAATGTCATTTCAAATATCACTAAAATAGTTGAATTGGAAAGGCCATCTGTGCCAATTAATCCCATAGATGTATTTCAATGTTTGTGATTTTCATTAGAGGTCTGTTATTGTATTTCTTTTAATTTCCCAAATAATTTCCCTGGTTTTAAGCACTTCCATTTATTACTCAATCATTCATGTATTATACAGTTATGGTAGCTCAGCAAAACGAAGTGACGTGAAAAGGCGCGTCAGGAACGCAAAATGTGAAATTGTTGAAATTCATATTTGTATGCTATTGAGGTACATCATTAGGGCATGGAGCTAGTAATTCTCTCCACTTGATTGGAATTATACAGCCTTTTGCATTCCAGACGCATCTTTTCATGCCCCTACATTTTGCTTCCTAAATCCCATTTCTTTATGCCATAGTAAACTGTTGTGTTTTTTAAGCGTACTGCACTTCACATTACTGTATCTTATAATAAACACATGGATTAGTGAGTATATGTTTGACCCTTGTTGCGCACAGGTTCTTTGTTCATCCCAACTTTCTCTTCGTTTAGTCTGCAGCATATGGGAACAAGCCTTTACAGGTATATAGTTGAACCTGACCACCTGTCTATGAAGGCTACCGGTATAGAGTTGTCACTTCTTTTTAATCCCAAAAAAAAAACAGAAAAAAAAGTCAAATAGTGTTATGGATACATCTCTTTTTGAGTTAAAACATTCCCCAGAAAGAAGGCATTTTGAAGGTGCCAGTAGAATTTATCTGTAAAAAAATAGAAAAATATGTCATACTTGCTCCCAAATGTCGGTTAATTTTTTCACATGTATTCTACATTTTAGAAGGTAACCCTTTTCCTTCTTGTTTGCTAGTTATGTAATGTACAAACCAACTTGTAAATTATGGCAATTTATAAACTGTTTTTAACTGTGTTTCTCATAGCAAGGATTGGCATAAAGTTGTATTTGTAGAGTATGTTTAAGATGTACATCAAAGGGAAAAGTGATCAAGTAAAGCAATAATCGACTTTTAAAGATTACTGTTTTGTGAGAATTGTCTCTTCATTATTTGTGTACTTGTATGGAAATTAGATATGTTTTGTTTAAGAGGGGCTCCTCACCACAAACAAACTTATGTTTAAATCCTCTCCAACCCAAAATAATCTGTTATCAATAGAAGTAGAATAATCAGACCAACATGTTTGTCAGAAGTCTAAGTATATATCCCACTGATCTCTACGTAAAAAAATTTCATAGAGATCAGTGGTTTTCAACAGGATTTAGATTTTTCTTTCCTTAATGATTTGTATCAGATTCTCATCGTAGCATGCACATATTTTTTTTAAGATTGACCATTAACCAATCAGACTCATTGTTTTAAATTTGCAATTGTGTGCAAACCTTTTTATTATGGAAGTCTTCTTGTAGAAGTCGCCCCAAGACACAATCTACATCATAGTTAAGGAGATATTTTGACATCTTAGAAACATCTAATTATGTTAGATGGCATTGGGGTTTTATGACTAACTAAACCGTGTCCAAAACAAATAAACCACTTCAGAATGACGGAGAGAGACGGGAATGTTATCCCACTTGTGATCTTTGTTCAGGAGGTTTCAAATGACGTTATATCAACACGGAAATGTCGCTTGACGAGGGCTTTTAAGGCTCTTCACAGTCACATAAAAGGTTCACTAATTGCATATAAAGTGTAGCTTGTTTGTTTAATAAAGATCAGCAATATTAACTGCAAAAATGACCCCCCCCCCCCCTCTCCCTTACCCCAATTAGACATGACGAGTCGAAATAATAACACCATATCACAAGAACTGCAGTTTTGCAAAAATTGATACACGTACATGTATTCTTTTCATAGTACAATTTCATGTTGCAAAGTTTCATATTATGCTACAGAGGAGAAAATAGAACCAAATCTACATAAACATTGTGGGTAAACTTGCTGGTCGCCTGTGTAATCAGTACTCGAAATGGGCCTTGTTTTGTGCTGGAATACTATAACTTCACAAATGTACACTGACTAGGGATACATCTATGTGGTCAAGGTGACAAAAAGTACTAAATTAGAATCCATTTATATCAGAATAAAGGACTGTCTAGATATGATGTAGTACTTTTCTGCGTTTAAACCTGTAAATGAGTAGCAGCTGCACAAAACAGTCCTACGCGTGTTTACTTATTAGCTACATGTGCTATACATGTAACTACGATGCACGATACAGAAATATGAAGCGTATTGCACTTAAGTCGTCATTGCTATCGCTTTATATCTCGAGAACTAGGCTTTACAAGCCATGTTGTTAGCATGATTACGCAATATTTCTACTAGAATTTCTGTAGGAGCACCTTTAATTTAGTACATGTACAGTCTAAATAGAAGGAAATCGAGCGCCATTAATTATGTTGCAACTCGATCTTTTTCTATATCATTGATCTGCGTATACGAACGATTAGAGAATGTTACACAAGAGCCTTGATTAATTGTGCCATTTAAAAAATACATCGGCATAATGTCAGATCCGCCTATTTAATATTGTGGCTGAATCACATATACCACGCACAACATCTGCTCTTAAAATAATCAAAGTCTATATGGCATTGACCAACGCTCTAACCTATTTCATAGCGAAACAATATACCGGTTTACTAAAAGTTGTGCATACTTTCTAAATAAAGGTTGTTCTTGACAGACTGGAAACTAGCCCGAGGCCTTTTCGACATAGCAATAAGTATTGTAGAGTATTGTAGTTAATTCATTAATAACATGTTAATTAAATAACTCGTCACTAGAGGTCCCATGCAGGAAAGAAAAATTCATAAATTTGAATATATTAGTAAACCGGCCTATTCTAAAACCTTGTCGGATCGTACTGACCCGAGCAGTGACCATGCATGATACAAATATCTCATCTTCAAAATGTCAAGTTCTATCATATCCGTAATGTGTATTTTTAATGAATTTAAACAAAATTTACTTCATATCGAGTCCACTTCAGTTTAAAATGAGAGGTCGATTATCTCATCACAGATGGCAAAATTCAAGGAGGGACGAATTCGCAAATATATTCTTCAAGAACATAATATACTTTTCATTGTGATTATTGCGATGCCTGTAATGTCTGTAATATCTAATTTGACCATTGACCACGTGACGATGGCGAAGATTTTTAAAAACAAAAAAAGAAATAAAATTAACCTAGGGCGCGGCGTTTTTAATAGCATTGTGAGTCACTTTGCGATGATGTAATCCGGAAATGATTACCAGCCTAAGGAATCATTATGGCATTCTTGAGGGTCATTGCGATCGCGTCATTAGGGACTTTTAGATTTGCACGACGAGAACGTGGACCTCTACGTGCGACATCCTTTTAAGGCACTGGCAGTGCCCTGCAGCGTCATTTTTGTCTGCGGCACAGATTGGGGCTTTTTTATTGGGGCTCAATATGTGCCGCAGAAAAAATAACGCTGCCCGGCAGTGCCTCACACGTACAGGTCCATGTTCTCGTCGTGTAAATCTAAAAATCCCTATAGTACCGATGGAGAAAGCGGTGGCGTAAAATCACACAAATCGTTTTTTGTAAAATTATCGAAATTACTGGTAATAGGTTCTGAGCGTCCATTTATCTTAATTATCTTTGCACAGTTTAAGTCACTTAATTGGATAGGAAAGCAGGTATTTCCAATTTGTGGCGTTATCTATATTCGAAACAGATTTGGTTGAATCCGATAAGGACAATCATTTTTGACGAACATTCAATCTCATGTCAAGAATTTTCGTTATGATTTAGAGATTACGTTGCAACACTATATGCTCCTAACATATGCAATTCTACGTTTTTATATTTCCATGTTCTACTAATCGTTCTACAAAATTTCAGTTGTTGCTACAAACAATAAATTTAAATAAGTTATACACATATACATGTACTACGTATTTTGAGGTACGCATGGCATACATTCAGCTGTTAACTTCAATAAATAGCTAAGTTTTAAAAATATTTGTACAGTTTTAACAAAATAAATATACAATGTCGTGTTGAAATACTTTAGTTACCCTTATTGTTAGAAAGCAAAATAGATTTAACAAGCAGCAAACAGATTTGTAAAGGCTTTTAGTTATTAAAGTATTTCAATGCCCAACTTTGGTACCAATTTAGATATTATCGTCTCGACGTTCATGATTTCAAAAATAAAAAGAACACATTTTGAAATAACTATCGGTCATCCAAAACGATACATAATACTGGTACTCTTTCATAAATACCATAAAGTTGTTCAGAATACACTTTGCCCTTGTTAATACGTGAGTGCAGACCTCAAACAACCAGCGTGATTTGACAATTGTTGTACTCATATTTATATCATTTCTAAAAGCTATTGCAACGACAATGTTCCTATGTCAATGGATGACCATTCAGTCCTAATTGCTTAGAATCAGCCCCTTCGGTTGTCAGTGTCCCGCTGTCGCAAAAGTTCGTAATAGTTGAACAATCTTTAAAATTTGTCTGACATCCAACACCTTTAACCAAAGCGCCATCAACGGTTGCAACGCTCATCGAGATGGTGTTCGCGTTCGAACCACGGGACACCATTTTGTAAGCCGATAACCGGTTGTTCTCGCAGTCCTCGTCGTCCGGTCGTCGTCGTCGGCAAACATTGCCTACACACCGGCTCCTCGCGCGCGTGAGGAGCTCCCGGAACGCCAATCGGAAGTCTTTCGTTCTGATGGTGTAGATGAAAGGATCGAAGAAACTGTTCAAGAGCGCCAGGAGGCCCAGCCATCCGCGAACTTCAGGCGACACTTCACAGTTTCCCCCGCCTAGAACTCCAAGCAGGAGAGTCACAGTCAATGGCAGCCAGCAGACGACAAATGTGAATACAATCATACCGATAGTGATTGCGACTCGACTTTCGACAGTGAGCTTCGACATGACAGTTCTGGAAGATGTCGATGAAATGCTGCCAGTGTCTGAGAGCTTTTTGCGAGGTATGCCTTGTGGATGTGCTATGGTGTTCACCTTCGACGTTTCGTTGACTGATGGCGGTGCTGAAGCCCTCGAGATTGCAGCGACACGAGCTCGAGAATCAATGCTCCTGGCGTGACTTCTGGCGATGGAAAATATCTTGATGTAGAGCGCCATTATAACGACAATGGGGAGGGATAGGATCAACACTGTATACATTATCATATAACCCCTTGTGACAACTCTGTACCACTGGCAATACCCAGTGCTGCTGTGTGGTGTATACGTCTCTTTATGATGCCACACAAATGGTATACACCCAATAATAAAAGAGAATATCCACGTGCTAATGATGATGATCCGTGACCGCTTTTTCGTCATGATCGAGGCATACCGTAAGGGATTTTTCAGCGCGATATATCGGTCGATCGAGACGGCTAGAAGATTCAAGATGGCGGATGCGAGCACAGTAAGCAGAATACAGAAAGGCAAGATGCATACATACAACGAATGTAAGAATAAATCCGGGATATATTTCGCAAGTAAACCAATGGGCATCCCTAGCCCGCAGCATAAATCACTTATCGCTAAACTAATAATGTACATACTCGTAGTCGTACGAAGCTGACGATGGCGTCGTATAGTCGCTAAGACGATGACGTTAGTCACGATCACCAAGGCTTCAAGGATGGCCATGATCGAGATGGCTATCTTAAACTGGATACCTTCTAAATGACCGAAACCGATACCTAAGTCCACCATGGTAGGTTGTCCTAGAGGGATATTTGGGAGAATAAGCGTTTCGTTTTGTGTCGAACCTACTTCAGTGCTAGCCATCATGGTCAGGAACTCTGTCGTAAAATCGGTCGCATCCCCACGGTCATGTCCATCCAGAGATGCCACCTGTGTGCTAAGTATCACGTTTGAGAGTAAGAGCTGACTGTTGGTAGCGAGGGACATGATGGACCCAATTGTGCAGCGGCCTTGTTTTAATCAGATGTCATTAATCGTCTTTAGCAGGAAATCAAATAAAACATTTAGACAAGGAGGTTAAGTAGATAAGAACAAAAGTACACAATCTTCCACACGTTATCCGCAAAATGCTCCACTATGCACAGTTGCATGCCAATATTATTGTGGCGGTGAGGCGAATGGTTGCATAACCTCTAAAGATGAAAAAATATATGTACATGATTAGATGATGTCAGCTGCACAAAATATTGCCATATGCTCAATCATAGCCTTGTAGGTAGGTAAAGGTAGGCCGAGTGATGCTTGGTTTTCTTTATAGTCTGAATCCAAAATGCATACGACGTACGGTCGTACGGTTAAGTAAAATTTCCTTGTACCTCGAAATATAGTATCATGAAGGAAGTAATGGCTAAAACACCCTGGAATGAGACCAATTGTCAGTCAATTACATCATCCATACCTCCAAATCGAAGCAAATACAGGCTCACTGAAGTTTATCCGTTACTTTTAGGTTTCTGTAGCCAGTTCAATTCATGACAGTGAGACAACTAATACATGATTATACACGAACCACGTACACATCCAACTAGAAGTGAATCCAGGGTAGAAAATTAGCCATTAGGCCTAAAGATGTGATGACTTTCAGTTTTTGAGGTTGATTCAAATCTGAGCCATGCTGGAATCAGCAATCAAGTGTTCTACAAAGTCACCAAGTTCAAGAGCAAATGGGACAGTCCACTGTAATTTGTTTAATGAATCTCAATTTAGATACATATTACATCCGAGCGTGGTAAGATTTGTTCATAAATTATGATGCCTTTTGATGATCCAGTACATTGATCATGTTTGCATTTAATATCGTGATCAAGCCCGTCGCCCGTTGTCCACTTTTCGAGGGAAGATGTCAAGTTGTTTGCTCATTCATCATGTTAATGAAATCGCTCATCAAAGTCCATTGACTGTGCAGCCGTGTCTTTTAAAACCACTATCATCATCCAAAATTAACAAAGTTAATACTTCACATATAGATATCTAGTCCTCTATATGTTACAACTGCTCCATATCATGATTTATGAAGACTGACGAACGTAGGGATCGAACAAATATGTATCATACAGTATTTTTGTGAACAGACTCGAAAAGTTCACCACACGGCGTGAGAAACAGGCAAACCATTCCCAAATCGACCACCGCTTGCCTTTGAAGAGGGTCTCTCAATTCCAGTACATTCTCGAGAACATCAGTCTCACTTCGTAACTGTGATCACGTTCGTCGTTGATTTCAAGATATCATTCAATCCACAAGTGGAGTATGGGCTGTATGGTGGCATTTACATAGACGTCACTATTTCAAGCTCTTCACATACAGCGCGATTATTTAATACAGTCTTTGTTTTGATAACCGCTCTGTATTATGATTGTTTGGCGTTCACCGGAACACTTCCTTGTCCAAATGATATGTTGTCTAGCGTTGACAAGTTTTTGATAAATCAGTTCGTCACGAGTTAAAGGCTGCATCAGATATCATCAAACGAAATATTCAATTCAGGCGCGTATAGAAATCAGAGGGTTCAAAACACGTACTGCTGAGAATATATGTATAGCTGAGTGGTAACACAGTACCGATAACCCGCGAGGAGAAACGATCACATTACCGGAAGAGAATCGGGTGAGGCTAGTCGTCTGCTCTTTGGAAGAAAAAAAAAGCCAGCAACATTTCGTCAGGAAAACAATGTCAAGGTTAAATCCAATAACAAACACGAACAACAAAGTGTTGTCTTACGTTTTCGAACGGATTGCAGTATAAAATGTCAAGGTATCGGCGTCAACGGATTCGTTTAATGTTTATGCTAGATCATGTTTACAACCATCATCATTTGGTTCATTAACGTCAACGAGTTCATGAATATTATCGATACTAAATCATGGTACAACTAGCAAGACAAAACTTGATTCTGTTATCGTACCTCTCTGCAATGTTGGCTGAGACAAAGATATAATTTCTAAAAATGTATAGGCTCTCTACAAAGCTAGAGTTCATCTCAATCGAAATTTCCTTTTAAATGCTGCACGAAGATGCACTGAAACTGAAACGAAACCTCCGGTCCACAGAAGATCCATGTGATATTAATTCAAAACATGTCATGCAGATAAACCTCAAGTACATTTAGTTTCTTTGCATGTCATTCAGCGTTGATAAGTTTATTAACACCGTCATGTCCTCAAGTTTAGACAAAGTTTGATGCACCACGGGTAATCAAAACAATTTAAGTACATTTTAGCATGAAGTTGAGCTATTTTAACCCGTCATAAAATTTGATGGACGTTTGATGTATTCAAGGCTAATTATCAAAACATTGAGACATGAAGTTGTTGTTGTTGTTATTCAAATAAGGAAGGAAAAGGAAGACCTGTACGTGGCTTGTATGCCGCGTTTCCTCTTGAACATCAAAACCCTGCTTCATCATGCATGTATATATCCCCCGAAATCACTTATGGCATACAGCGTCATGCCGTGGATTGTCCGTAGTGTGACCTGCAAAATATCGAGGGATGGGACTCGTTTCGTCCCAGTATGATGAAAATTTGAGTCGAGACTCTAAGCCCTTATGCATAATTCATAAACGAACAAGATAGGGTGGAAAGTACGGCCTGCCTTCCGGGGATGATAAGTGCTTCTACCTGAAGTAGTCTAAGGCGGAACCAGGGCGGGGGGGGGGGGGGGGGCAAGTAGACACGATATGCCCCTTGCTGTCAAAAATCCAATATGGCATACCTCAAGAACATGCACTTAAAGGGAATATACCCCAAAATGCCCCCCCCCCCCATTAAAAAAAACAACCTGAAAAGAGCTCCTGATCATTCTTTTTGTTTGTTTGGTTAGTCAGAGACTTCTTTTGGAGGGCGTACCCCTGAAGGTAATCCTGCAAGAGAATCCCCTGCATGGATACGCCTCTGGTATTTGAGCCCTTGTCAGGAGTATCTATTCAATGCCCGCATATCCTTTGATCCCATTCTTCATGTTTACAAGGGTACTCGTACAAAATACTCACAAATGGAAAAATGGGGCAAACGTTCCAATAATTGTAGCGACGACTTTGAAATTGACTGACATAATTATGTTCTCAAGAGGTGCCCCACCCCTCCTCCCCCCCCCCCCCTCTCTCTCTCTCTCTCTCTATATATATATATACATCTTCTCTCTTACAGGCCTATTACAATGCTCGCTCTCATTCTCAACGCTCTCTCTCTCCTCTCTCTTTCTCTCTCTCTCTCTCTCTCTCTCTCTCTCTCTCTCTTTCTTTCCCCCTCTATACTTCCCTCATTCCATTCGTTCTAACTTTGTTTCTCTCATGCTATCATTCTTTCCAGTCAGTCTCACTCTTTCCCCTCCACCTCTCTATTTATTCCCTCTATCTACCTCTGTCTTTTAGCCCCCTCTCCCCCCCCCCCCCTCCCCCCTCTCTCTCTCTCTCTTTCTCTCTCTCTCTCTCTCTCTTTATCTTTCTCCGGTCATCACAGTCAGCTAGAGCAGGATTTATCACAGTCAGCGAAGAGTAGCACACGGAATAAAGTAACATGTTCTTTTAAATTCAATTGCAACCTAAATATATATATACGGAAAGATGCCGGTTGTTCAACACCAATTAAAATAAAAACATTATATGGGCGTTCTGGAGAGATTAAATGTCATGGATCTGATCTGTCTGTCCTTACTGTTGGTGTGACTGTATTTGTGGAAGATAGCATACATCATTATACACGTGTCTTAAATAGCCTATACTATATTTGCAGATTTTCTAGGAACAGCATGATCAAAGACTGTAACGATTCTGCACCATTATTTTGAAGAAAAAAACATTATAACATTTCCACGTTTTAACCTGTAGGCCTACATCCACATGCTCCTATTCACTCCGTTTGACGGTACATGAAAATAGAACTAGGTTCATTCATGTGATATTAAAATATGTGGAAAATGTGAAAGTTTTTTTTCAAGTTAGCCACTGTTTGCCTTTGTGCTTCGTACATTGTTTTCAATAATACCTTTTTTTGTAAAAATAAATTTTTAAAAATTATTAAAAAAATAAAATTTTGTGTATATACTGTCAAAATGTGTGCGCACGTCTTTGTGTGTGAGTGGTGTGGGTGTGTAAGGCTTGTGTGTGTCAACTATTTGTGGGTGGGTGTTGGGCAGGTGGACATGGATGTGTGTTCAGAGTATATACAAATTAGATGGTAGATTCAAAGAGAATTACTGTTGTTTCTTGGGAGATATCCTCAGACCTTCAAAATCTGGTTTATACAGATCATCTTAATAAAAGTTAAGCCCGACTTCGATAGATTTATAAGGATATATTTGATATTTACCGAATAAGAATCATTTGAAATATCATCTAAAAATGATATATTTCTAGATGTTCACGAATTGGGATTAGCTGGCTGATATGTTTCAGCATAATACACAACACGATTTCCTTCAATCAAATCGTTCTCCAAAAGACAAATATCAAATAAAGATATCGCTAATCACTTCACATGCAAAGGACAAAATCCCTATGGTCCCCTGTTTTTCTAAGAATATACAGTCATACTCACCAGGAGGAAAACATGAATGTTGTATTTTTATAAGATAATACGCATCATTTTGTGAAATGTTTTGATCAAGCGAATTGTAATATAATCTATAGCCTATGATATTATTTTTGTTGTAGTTGTCCCAAATTTTCGTTTAATTTATCAGACGGTGAGAACAATAAAAATAGATATTAAAGTCAACCTTTTTATTGGGGGGGGGTGTTTGTTTATTTTCTTTTATTTGTGTTTCTTTGTGATTAATGTCATGTTTTTGTTTTGTTGTTTTTTCGCTGTATCTTTCAATATATCTAAAATGTTTTCAGTTGAACTAAAGTCACATCGTTGCTCTGTTGATGCTTTTCACAGTCATTGATCAAACGACAAAAGTAAGAGACAATCAAGTTGCAGAACTAATTTATACGCAGTACTCTGCAACGACATATTACGACCAAAGTTTCAGACTACCAAATAGATCGCATTGTACCTTCTTATCCCGTCCCTCATTCTCTAATGCTCTCTCTCCCAACCCCTCCCCTTCTCCCCCTTCTCTCCTTTCTCCCCCTTCTCCCCCTCCCCCATCTCTCCCCCTCCATCTCTCTCTCTCACTCCCTCTCTCTCTCTCTCTCCCTCTCTCTCTCTCTCTCCCTCCATCATTGTCTCTCTGTCTCTGTCTCTCTATCCCTCCCTTCCCGCCAAAACACACAAAAGATGACTACATTGTGAGGAACGTTGTGGGTGTTTCA